AGGCAGGAGACTTGCTTGAGTCCAGGAGTTGGAGGTTGCTGTGAGCTGTGATGCCACGGCACTCTACCCAGGGTGACAGCATAAGACTCTGTCTCAAAAAAAGAATGGAGAAAAGGAGCAAGGCGGATAGGAGGGTTACGAGCTTGGCAGACTTCACAAGATGAAACTCACACCCATACATGGAGGACTATTTTTCATCAAGTTTGCTATTAATTAGTATCTCTGCAAAAAATAGTTTCCAGGGGAGAGGCTTAGAGCTAGGAATCTAGTGCAACTTCTGGCTTTTCTGCAAATTACATTGACCTTTGAAGTCATCTCTCTTCATTGTCATGGGGGATTGGATTGAATGTGCAGTGAAACTGGCTGAAAAGTAATTTTCCAATAATAATACTACCAATGAGGGCTGTTTGATCTCTGCCCAAAACATTCTCAGTCTCTTCTACGGGTCTAAAACCCTGATTCCTGAAGCATTCCTGGTAAAAAATGGAAACATTCCTGTGCTCAGATTCTAAGTAATAAAGACACCTGAAGTGTTTTTAAAATTGTTGGGCTGCTGGAGATTTCACTGGACAACAGCTCTCTAAAACGAAGTTGTCTGTATGTGGCCTCCGTGCGATCACTTTTAGCATCTGGTCACTGCCAGCTTCTGGCAGCTTGAGAAAGTGAGCTGTTTCCCTCGCTCCCACACGCCCGCGCCCTGGGACACGTGTGCTGGGGATGTCTCAACTGCGAGAGGCCAGCTGGGTAATGCTTCTTGCCCGACTCCCTTCTCTGCCTCCTGTCATTATATTCTAGACAGTCTTGCTGGTGCCAGGTTATATGGAAAATGTGTCACCTAAAGAGGTAATGGCCCATGACATCTGGTAAAAAGAGAGGGTTGTAGTGAGTCCACGTTTAACTCCCAGAGCTCTAGTTGTTTTCCTGGGCCCAAATCACCTCCACATGTCGAACCTTTTTAGCAGGTTTTTTCAGGTGCAAGTGTTTGGCATTAAATTCCTCTTTTTCGCGCCTGAGGTATGAAGAGACTAAGGATCAGGCTCTGGGAGGAGGAGGAAGGGGAGAGAAGTGAGCTGGACAATCCACCAGCCTTCTGATCAACTCTGGAGTAACTGAGAGTCGCTGTTTTATTTTATTTTATTTATTCATTCATTTATTTATTTTTTTGAGACAGTGCCTCAAGCTATCCCCTTGGGTAGAGCACTATGGCGTCACAGCTCACAGCAACCTCCAACTCCTGGGATCAAGCGAGTCTCCTGCCTTTGCCTCCCAAGTAGCTGGGACCACAGGTGCCCGCCACAATGCCCGGCTATTTTTGGTTGCAGCTGTCATTGTTGTTTGGTGGGCCCAGGCTGGATTTGAACCCGCCACCTTAGTTGTATGTGGCTGGTGCCTTAGCCACTTGAGCCACAGGCGCTGAGCCGAGAGTCGCTGTTTTAGATTAGCTTCCAATCTGCAGCCCCTAAAGAGAAAAATAAGGTGCCATTTGCAAAATCTCACCTGTTTGATTAGGGAGTTTCCTCTTTAACTCACAGATTCTCTGAGTAAATTGACTGCTGGATTGTTCTCCCACTGGAGAGAGTGTGTCAGGTGTCAGGCCATGTGCCCCCAACACCCCAGGACTGTTGCCCACAGCTTTTTGGTGGCCCTTTCTCATTCTCTCCAACACTGGGTTTATTCAAGAATGAACAGTGACATCTTATCAGAGGTGGTTATAACTGATTTCGAGAAGGCTGTGACGTAGTGATTAAAAGGACCAATTTTGGAGTCGTGGGTTCACAGCCCAGTACTGCCACTTATTACCTGACGATGTTGGAAATGTTGATTAATCTACCCGATTTCCCCATCAGAAAAATATGGATCTAAGTTGTATCTAGTCTTACGGGACTTTTCTGAGGACTGGATGTTCCCTGGAACTTGATAAACATACAATAAACGTTAGCCATTATCCTAACATGTTAAACTATTCAAAATAATTAATGATGCCATAGTGTCTCATCAGATTTACATCTGGAAACTCTACTGTGTCATTGCCTGTGTGTGTCTGTCTTTCCCCTTATCCTTGTGGATTTTGGATTCCTTGAAGGCAAGGGCTGGACTGTGCCCATTTCTGTACTCAGCGCAGTCCTGGAATGATTACTCAGCTTGCTAAGCAAACTCATTAAGGCTTTAATAATGACTTCTGGACTTCTTCTATCCGCCTATCTTACCTGGAAAAACAATGCTGCGGTTTTCGATTCAGGCTTGTGTCTTTGCCAGATTCTGTTGTGTTCTGCGATAGTGTTCTGGGAGTGGGCGCTACACAGAAAGAAATCATTTCTGGATTCTTTTTAACCACCCTTGGTTTTTGTACAGGTTACCACAAATGGTATCATTGCCACGAGTGAACCCCCGGCCAAAGAATCCCATCCTGGACTCTTCCCACCAACCTTTGGTGCAATTGCACCTTTCCTGGCAGACTTGGACACAATGGACGGTTTCGGGCAGGTTTATTACCGGGAAGACTTATCTCCATCTGTCACTCAGCTGGCAGCAGAGTGTGTCCAGAGAGGGTTCCCAGAGGTCTCTTTCCAGCCCGGTAGTGTGGTGGTTGTCACTTGGGAGTCCATGGCGCCCTACCAAGGGCCCATCAGGGACCCTGCCCAGGAAGGCAAGGTAAGCATTCCCGGGGGTACAAGGGCTAATAATCTTCAGTCCTGTGGTTTGTGCTGCTCTGATATACATCATACCTGTTCTATTGATAAAGGTAGAAAATACAAAGCAAAATCTAGCAGGATGGTTATTGCAGGCCCGAAACTCACAAAAGCTTATCTGCAAGGCTTTATAAATCTATGTTTTCAATGATGATTAGATATAAGGAAAGCCAATTCCTGGGAAGACTGCCACGTGGCAGCAAGCATAAACAGAATTGATAAATGCATCCCTGGGCTGTACTTACTTCAGGCGGCAGGTGGTGGAAGGATAGTTCCTACCTCAATGGAGAAGTTACTGATATGAAATAATGAATGTGAAGATACAAAGACAAGGCCTTGACTCTAGTTGAGGAGACAAGAACCATTTGGACCACAGTGAGTGGTTTAGACTCCTAGGGGTGGGAGTCTAAAGAAAGACTTTAACGACCAGGCTGTAGACCTTGCACTTGCCCTTGAAGAAAGGAGGATTGGAGTGGATGGAGAGGCCATGACTAGACCTGAAGTGACTTTTTAGGGCAGGTCACAATTTTTCCTTGGAAAACTAATTTCTTTCTGCCATTACCTAATCTTTGTGGGATAACGGGTAGAGAGAAAAGTCCCAAAGCATCCATATAAATGGGAGATATTCCAGGCTGGTAGTTCCCAAAGTGGGGACCACAGAACATCAGTCCTAGGAGATAGTCTCCGAGGAAAAGACCACTGCTGTTGGCCGAATCAGTTGGGGAAATGCTAGGCCTCTGCCTCCCTCCCTCTTTCAGAGACTCACTCTGAAAAGTCCGCAGGAGAGAAAGCTGCTTACATATTGTTTATTTATTTATTTATTTTGAGACAGAGCCTCAAGC